TATTCACTGTGTTTCAATAACTTTTTAACAGGATAGATTGGATTAGTCGTTGGATTAGTTTATCGTTAGTTCGGAAATTTGTTGGGGTTGGTTTTCTGCAATTCTTTCTTTTTTTAAAAAAAAAAAAAAAAAAAAAAAAAAAAAACCTTAAAATCCTTTACCAATTATCATTAACTGTTCTCGGTGTTTCAGGAAGTTCCCTTTACAATTAAATTAAATACTTCGCGACATAGTTGATGGGTCTTATTTTGTTATTTACTACAGTATATAATTTTTCTTTGGACTTGTATTTTCCATAGCTGTGGAATGTCTAGTTTGAATCATAGCTATTATTTTTAGCGGATTTGTCACCACAATTTTTGGGTTTGAACTAGTAATTTCGTGTGTGGAAGAAATGGAACCCAACCCTCTTGGCTTTGCAATCACATTGCACCTTATTTAAAAGATTCTGGAGATTATTCGATAAGAGCTTCTGAGAGTCAGAAATTTTGATGGCAGGTTAACTTGTCCGTCATTTCGGTGATCTTTTTTCTATTCGTAATATTTTTGGGGGGGTTTTATTTTGTAATAATCATATGAAACTTGAACCTCTGCCAAAAGAAGATGAATATACAGATACATACAATAAAAATAAAACACACGAGGTATCAGGAAACGTAAATTCCGGACTGAGAATTTCGTAACCAATTTATAATTTTTAATGATAATGGAAGACTAAACCTTCTGGTTCTGTATCACCAATTGGCTTTGTCTGTATTTGTAAAGTTTTGGCCTTCACTCTTATTTATGCAATTAGTGCGTTAGGTGGGGGGGGATATGATATGCTCCAAATCTAGATGGGTAATGCTAAAGATTCTGAAAGACTTTGTAGGAAATTTTTATTATTAATTTCAGAGACCAGGTGGCAGGATCTTAATCTGAAGAAGACATTTTGCCAACTATAAATGTTCCCGCACGCACGGTCTTTAACTCTCTAGGGAAGCTTCATGAAGATTAGACAAGATAATTAGCTACTAAACAAATCATTAAAGGTTAAATCAGAAATCTAATCTCATATCCACGAGACAAAATAACAAATAAAAACAAAAGATAGTGGTTGATCGATAGACTATACATAACCATCCCTACTCAAATAAAAAACGAAGTTAGTTAGGGTTAGTTTGTTTTTTTTTAATGTTTACAATGTGATCCTCTCTATATTTCTATATAAATTTTATAGTAATATTTTTATTTTTTCGTATATATTTATAACTTTTTCTCATAGTTAAATTTGTATCTTAATTTTTAAAATTTAAGAATAAAAAATATATATTATAATATTAATAATTTTCTATGTTAAATTTGGATTCATCTCTCATGTAAAATAAGTCGCATTGAGTTAAATTACATAAATTCTGTAGTCATTTTATTTTTCATTCTCAATTTTCTTTCGCTAAAATTTTTAATACTGCACACAATAAATTGAACTTTATAATTATATTAGAGATTAAATTTATAAGATGTAAAACTTTCGCTCGTTAGATCAGGAAGTTCTTATTCATGTAAACAACTATTACGTGGTAATTGATTTTGATTCTGTGGTTTTTTTCTCTTAGATTTTTCAACTTTCTCTTTGCTGCAGTTTTTAGATTCTGCAGCTGCAAACAGCCACGTGGCATTCATTTGCTTGTTGATCATCTGCACCGCGTAGTATGGAATCCTGACTCTCTTCTTCTCCACGGACTTCATTCGTGCATTGATGAACGCTATGCAATCCATCAGGCTTTCTCTGGAAAACCCTTTCATGGCATAAGCCTGCGATCGTCTCCACAGGCTCTTACCGTGAGGACGCCCTGAACTTGACAAACACAGAGCTCTCGTTGTGTCGCTGATGGCGGCCTCTGGTTTTCTCAGCAGCAAATAACACTGGGCTCTATTGCTGTGCAGAACAATTCTCTCTTTTCTCATCTTCACTGTGCATAACTCCAATGCCTCTGAATATATTTCCAAAGAATTTTCAACGTAACCTGGCCAGAACTTCTGGTTTCCTTCCTGTTTCAAAACACCCGCCATGGATTCTCTTTCTTTAAGCTCTCGATCGGACATTAGATTCTCTCTTCTTCTTCTCTCCACCTTCAAATCCCATATCTCTTTCACTGCTTTCTCAGCTTCCTTGTTCTTCAACCTCAGGTCACCGTACCTTATTTTATGGAAGTCCTGTAACATAACCTGCGTGATTTTATCTCCAAGATTTCCGAGTTCGACCAAATCAACGAGAAACAAAGCTGCAGTATCCATGACTTGGAATCTGGTTTCTGGGTCTTTAAGAAGTAACAGAAGACAATCAATGGCGATTTCCCGCCAATCGTCTGAAGACCTTGAAAGATTACAGAGACTATCCACGACTTCTCTCAAATCTGCAATTTTTTCTCTTCCGATTTTGGTGCAACACAGGGTTTTTATCAGTCCAATTCCACCGGGTGAAGCTCTATTTACCAATCCACCCCAGATTCCACTCAAAACTTTGAGAAAGTCTTTGTTGCAAAGAAGATCAAGAGACATTTCCTTACATGCAAAACAATTTAGAAGATACAAAGACCAACACTGAAGCTGGCTCGCCCATTCTTCCGCCTTTTTATTCTCTGTCTCGACACCGCCGAGTCCTCTCGTGAGCAAATCACAGTGATACTTCGATCTTTTTCCATATTCCACTCTGATGAACTTTTCATAAACCACGTCAAGACAACTGCAAGAAATCTCCATGGCTAGTTTCACAAGCTCTGCTTCATATACAGCAACAGCTTCAAAAGTTTTCTCATGGCTGGCAAGGTGACCCAGTGCTCGAACCGCAACTCGCTGCTCAACCCAGCTGATTTTACCTCTCAAAAGCTCCATCAAGGCCAAAACCACTCCCGACTCGACAGCTTTTTCTGCTAACTGAGATTTGTTCATGGTATAAGAACCGATTATATGGGCTGCGTAGTAGGGAATATAAATATTCTGATCTCTGCGAAGCCATTTCTTGTTGTCGACGCCTCTGTGGATGAGTTTAGCCATGGAGTCGAAGATGCCGAGAGATGGGAATTCAGAGTCGTCGGGGTTAATCATGGCGATGTTCCAGAGTCCGCTTAAGACCAAGACAAGTTCTGGGTCGTCTCTGATAGGGATTTGTTTGAAGAATTGAGCAATTTTAGGTCTTCTCAGAGATGGGTCTGGCTCTTTCACGTTGCAGAAAAAACAAGAGGAGTCAGAATTAGAATTAGTAGTAGTAGTAGTAGTAGTAGGACTGTTGATCTGTCCTGGTGAATCCATGGCCGAGAGAAATTGGGTTAGAATTAGCTGCACAGATGGACGATATTATAAATCCGACAGAAGACAAAGATTTGGTATACATAAAAGTTTTTTCTCCATCGTCCAATTTTTGCTATTATATACTTTCTATTATAAATTTATATTTTTATGAATTAATTTATATGTGGATATAATTGGAATATAAGACAAAATATAATTTTTAACTAAGAACATACACCAATACATATCTCTTAGTCAAAAATATAATTTTTTATAGAAGACTTAACTTACTATTGTTGAGTTAAACAATACTAATTAAATTTGTTTATTGTTCATTTTAAATTCTATTTTTGTAATTTTTTATTAAATTAAATAAAATAATTACATTTATTAGTTCTTGAATATTTATTTAAATTCTACTCCATGAAAATAATAATTTTTGTTTATAAAAATATTAACTTCCTAATTCTTGTTCATAATTAAAGCTGTAACAAATCATTATTTACCCTTCAATCTTCTCAATTAATAAGATTTATCAACAATACAATAAAGAATAACAATAATCACTTTCCAAAGAGACTGAAACACTATTCTTGAGATCGATAGTTCTTTGGTTGTGCAACTACTTATCAAGAATAATTACTGTATTAATGTTTATATTACATTTGTACGTTATATCACATACTTATTATTGAATGATTGGTGTATTAAAATTTAGCATGTATATTGCGAAAAGAATAAATACGCTAATTAATTGATAAATTTTAACTTCTCATTACAATTTGGTCTTCATAACTATGTTCGTGTAACATGTGATCTCCAACAACTTATCACGAATGTTTTTTATCTACAATGCGCCTGAAAAACTTTTAGTTTTTAAACTTTTAGTAACAAAAGAAAAAAAAAATCACTATCACAATTCATATCCAATTTAATTAAAAGATGATAAAAATTAAATTCTTTTTAAAATAATAACAATTAAATTCATATAAAATTTTACCTATAACTATAATAATAATTTCTAAATTTTATTTAAACAAATAGAATGATGTTATTTTTGATGTTTTTAATAGATGTTTATATTTTTTAATTTCTAATTAAACTACGATTAAAAATCTTAAGTTTATTTTAAACCCGTTATTAGAGTTGAAGGTAGCAGTCAGCCATTTGCGATTCATAAATAAAACACTGAAAAAACACTTTTCAACATATATATATATATATATATATAAACATATTTTGAAGTTGAGAAAAAAGCAAAGGAATTAATGCAGGTTTGCAGTAACATTGTACTCCAGAGCATGTAAATTGCAAAGGGATACGAGCTAGGTCATGATGATCTCCATCTCAGTCTCCATTACAGCACCACAATCAGACCGTGAATATATATATATATATATGATGAAAGTAGAAGCTGGGTTGGTCTCAAGAAAATGCGGCCACCATTAATTTACTACTAAATCAAAGTTTACTTACACACACACACACACACACATATATATAAAAGGCATGACTCTAGCTAGTTCAATATCATACATGCACGATTTAATAAATATTTAATTACCTTTACCGCATGATTAAGGTCAAGATATTCTGGTTCTGGTTTAGTTAAATTCTTTTAATTTTGAATTAAATGAATATTAGTAATATTTTAAACTTACTTATTAATTCCTTAATAACTTTTTTGTACTTCAAATATTTAAGTTTAAGTTACTAATAATGCATAACTTAAGTTATTATTTGAAATTGAGACTGATATATTGTATATTATTTAAGTAATTCGTATGCCTATTATAATTCTTTTGCTATATGATATCATAAGAATGGAGCTTGAACCTGATTTATAAATCAATTTTTTTATTCGTATTATATTTTTGTCAAAATAATATATTAGAGTAAAATTTAAATTGCATCCATTATATATATATATATATATATAAGGTTTGGGAATTCATTTGTGTTCTTAATACATGTTATTATTAATATTATTTTTTAATTTTCTTTTATATGAATAATACATATGGGGGTTTTGCAAAGTTTGTGATCCATCCCCACTTTATATTTATTTTATGTAATGTGGGTCGCGTAGGGCTTGGGCCCAAGTGAACCAATTAAATACGTTCGTATCTTCTCAGACAACCGGCCCAAACTAAATATCCAAAAAGCCCATTTTCGTTACTTCTTCGGCCCATTAGCCCATTAAACGGTGTCGCATCAATGGTTCAAGCATCAAGTATTCACATTGGAAGTCAATTGTAAGTGTGATGATTGTGTAAACGAGTTTCGCTTGCGGTTCCAGCTCTCTGTTAATATGCTTTTATTCTTTTCGTTAGCAAGTGTGGACTAACCAATTCTAGAAGAACATAAAATAGGCGCAATTGGTGGCATAAATCTTCCTTCCATTGGTAAATCTAAAGCTATACCGCGTTAAAGCTGGTTATAGTCTTAGAAGAGAATCATATAGAGCTGTAATATAATCAATTTGTATATAAAATTAAATTTAGAACTTTATTATAAAATAAAATAACTTTATGACATAGATGAAGTTAGATCATTAAATGGATTGAAATATTATATCCAATATCTCTCACTCACATATTTAACAAGGAATTTATTTCATAAAATAGATATATTGATGTATGATATGATATTAAAGTTTAAGATAAATTATTAAAATTAAAATTTAATATTTAGTACAATTTAATTTTTAATATTTATTAGTCACAAATTGACGACTTATATATTTTTAAAATGATAATTTTAATTAATTAATTAAATGATCACAAATATATATTTTTTATATTATTTAATGTTTAATTATGATTACATCTAATTATTCAATTAATACGATAAAATCACTGTTAACCAATCATACATTTAAATATACTAAGTACAAATTAAATGTATAAAATACATTTACTTTATTGAATAATATATAACATAGGCCATAGAAATCAAGGCAACAAAAAGTAAGAAAAATATATTTTCCATCACGGAAAAAAATGCAGGAAAATAGACTGTCGCGCAACGCACCACTTCTTCCATGTAAGACGAGAAAAACACAGAAGAGAGTTAACTCCAAGGACCTCTTTGGCGGTGGGCCACTAAAGTTACCACTTCTATCGTACACTCGCTCCGTAATTATTGCCTTAACATCCCCACGTGGGCTCCTCCCATTGGTTTGTCTCATTGCAATTTTCCAGCTGTCTCTCCAGCCTAAAGCCAGACAGATCATAACAGAATCACATCAATGCTTTTTAACTTAACTAAAGCAAGATTTGTTATTACTAATTAAATATTTACTATTATTATTATTATTTGTTAGTTTGATTAAATGTTTTTTATTAATATTTTTGAATTACCTGGACAACAAATAGAATTCAGTGTTACTTGAATTGAAGTTTTTAAAGTAAAAAAATTATTTATTTAATAAATATAAATTTTTAAGTAATTATAAAAAGTATTAAATTTAATAAAATATAACTTTATTTCGACTATACCCTTAATCAAAATAAGCTTTTTCCCATTTTGCACTAACCCTCCTTTAGTGGCGATTAATTATCTTTTTGGCTGAGGCGGACATATATAGTAGACTTATCACATGCACCGAATTGGCCTCCAAATGGGACCCAGCTCAGCCAAAACAGTGTCAATTGCCAAATTACACACTAGTGTCTCTTTGTTTTCTTCCTTATTTGGGTGGGCCCAAACGGTTCTAACACGTTGATCCAACGGCTACTTTCTCCCATGTGAATGTGGTCCCCACTTGCTTCTCAACGGACCAGATCTACCCAAATGCCCCTCCGTTGCTTTGGTACAGGCCTATATCTATGCTCTCATCCCTGCCACTATTTCACTCTTCACTCTCTCTCCTCTCTCTCTCTCTCTCTCTCTCTCTCTCAGCCCCTAAATAAGCTTCTGGCGATGGAACGGAATAACGTCTTTACAGTTGTATTTATGTGCATTATTGTCGCCGGTGTCGGAGGTCAGTCTCCTGGCGCTGCTCCTACTAAGGCCCCGGTTACAGCCGCCACTCCGGCGACATCACCAGCCGCAGCACCTGCCAAACCTACGTCGCCGGCTCCCACCACTCCTACCGGATCATCGCCACCCGCTTCTTCTCCAGCGGCTTCCCCGTCCAAACAGACGGTGCCAGCTCCTGCGAAGGCGCCGACATCTTCAACACCGGCGGCTGCACCGGTTACTTCTCCACCAGCTTCAACGCCTGCAAGCTCTCCTCCAGCGAGCACTCCACCTGCGAGCTCTCCTCCCGCGAGCACTCCTCCGGCGAGATCTCCACCCGCAGCTGCACCGACAACTCCTCCCGAAAGCTCTCCTCCGGCTGGGGCCCCTCCGGCTCCGGTTATTGCTCCAAGTGCCGATGTTCCAGCTCCAACTCCCAGCAAGAAGAAGCCAAAGAAGCACATTGCGCCAGCTCCAGGTCCAGACATGCTTAGTCCACCTGCTCCGCCGACCGAATCTCCTGCTCCAAGCCTCGAATCAACTTCTCCTGCTCCAGCCGTGATCTCCGATGAGGTACTTTCTCATATTTCTTTTCCACACGTTTTCGCCTTAGATTTTAGGAATTAACATGCGGCCAGATCGCAATGTGCACCCACCCAGATCTACACTATAACCTCGAAGATCTATGACGGTTCCAAAATACAATACTAAGATTTAATCATATTTACCTCCTTAAACGAACTGAACGACACCGTTTCCTTCTAATAAGTACATTGTCCGAATAGTGTAAAGTACTTTTACAATGAACTGTGAACTATTACTTTTACCTTCCGGTAAGTGCGCAATGTGCTGCGTGCACAACGTGCATCGTATTGTTTCTATAAGCGCGAAAGCCGAGCGCATGCGGAGCGTGTGAGACACGCGCCAGCTCTGATACCGGCGGAAGAGCCATTTATTGACGCATTTTGCATAGTACGGAAGACGATGGTGTCTGGCGGTCATGTTTTGAGGGCGAAACGACAAGGCAGCGGACCCGATAGGTTTGTTCAACAGAGTAAAATCTTGAAGTGTGCGCCGAGATTTTAGTCCGGTTGCAAATCAATGTCAGGCTGCTGTGTACTAATTTTTACAGTAAGCGCGTGGCACGGGATAAACATTGATAAAATTTATTTATTATTATTACCATCAGATCTAAGACGAAAATTTAAAAATAAATCTGCATTTATGGAAAAAAGTAATATAAAATTGGAAGAATCTATTTATTATTTTTAATAGATTTGGATTGTCATTTTTGTTATTATTTTTTTAAAAAAAAATTGCAGAATGGAGCAGAGACAGTGTTGTGCCTGCGGAAACTCGTTGTAGGATTGGCGTTGGCATGGGGTGGTATGGCTTTGGTGTTCTAGACAGAAAATATGGTGTATCGGTGGCTGTCATTGTTTTGATCATTTTGTATTATTATTTATTTGGCCCCCATCATCTCCATAAGTTTATATTTGTTATCTTTTGTTTATCATTATGAGTACACATTTGATATTTGATTTTATTGATTTACCCCCTTCCCCCCACCATTTGTTTCCTTTATGAATAGTGGTACTCTATAGTGTACTTCTTGTTTATTGATTTTTGCCAGCTGGCTTTTGCTCTGGTCATTTTGCTACATTTTGCCTTTGTTTTTTTCTTCGTACATAGAATGGGCTTTATTTCCTCCCTTTATATTTTCATATATTATTAAATAAAAAAAAAAACTTACCACTATATTTGAAAACATCCAGTTAAGTTACCACTTCTAAATATATCTCAATTTTCTAGGAATACCACTAATTAGGATGTACTTAAAATTATTATTAAAATTTAAATATTTGTATGAAAATATGTTGCAAATTGGTCATTAAATCTGTTACCCTTGGCACTTTTCCCAAACAGTATTGGTTCTGCCTTTAACTTTATGTACATATTTATTTCACTTTGCTAATTTATTTATTCTATTAGGGATTAAGGAAAGTATATCTTTTAATTTATTTATTATACCTTTAAATACTTTATGGTGTCTTAAAATCCCAAAATTAGGATTGATTATTGACAAATTAGACTATAGTGGACTCTCCAAACTTTTAAAAAAATGCATATATGAGGAAATGTAAGGTGGTAATAACGGGGCATGTAGTAACTTTGCATAGCCAAGTACAAGTAGAGGATTAGGGTACTTCACAAGGTACCATATATACTCTTCGCATAAAATTTTCTTTTTTAACTTTTTTATAACTCAGGTCGAGTTGGAAAATGAATAACTTGACCGGGTACTGTAAAAATTTCCTCTATTATATGGGAATTTGTTGAAGTAATTACTATATATCGATAATATATACGAACACATAAACCTATAAGGTGACAAAAGAGAATGCCAATATACACACACACACATATATATATATATATATATATAGTACATATATAACCATCTAATATCACCTTCAAAAAGTACTTGGGGACCATATGAACAGTGAATTAGATTGCACATAGAGGAAAGGAATCTTTTGCCTTGCAACTGCAAATCATTCAATATCCCTTTATCATACATCATATATATTTTATTGGTAAATGAACATTTAAAATTAAAGCAAATCATGATTTAATTTCACTTTTGAAAAAAGCTCAATAATATACATCCATTTAAATTTTGAAAAAAAAAAAAATTGTTCAATCATTTTTTTATAATGGTCACAAAAATTTTATTTTTATTCGGACAAAATATATTTTCAGAAAATCTTATATTGAATTTTTTTTTACATGTGAACTTAACGTGAGTTTTATTATACGTAACAAACTATCAATTCAATAAACTCGTTTAAAGGTGATCAAATATGATTAAACAGTATTAGAATTTAATGCATCAGGTTTAAATATAAATTTATAATGTGCAGATACTATTGTTGTAATATTCTTATTTTATTATGGGTAAAATGAAAATTGTAAAATTTATTGATGTAAAAGATAGTTATGATCCCTGAATCATAATATTGTCATTCTTATTTTTCTGAAATCATGTCACTAGAAAAAAAAATTAATTTTTAAGCACCGTGCTGATTCGGAAGATTCTACTGCTGGTCACGAACAATTCTTCCACGATGGATTAAGGTATGCTTTCGATTACATTTTTTCATTAATTCAGTACGAAATTGTGTGTTTAATTTTTACAGGTTTACAGATTTACATATTTGAAATGTACTTTTATTACAATATCTTATGCTCCCTTTAATACATAAAAATGTTCCGAATTTCTATTTTTTAAATTTATATGTATGATAAATAAAATGATGATTTGTAAATGCTCGAAACTAAAAGAAAAAGATTTTTTTTTAAATATGGAAGTGAATAATAAAGTTAGAGTTTATATTCATTACATAGTAAATTATAATGCTCAATAGGACTACAGAATGTCCATTCTATATTGATTCATAAAAAAAAAAACAAACGATAATTAAAAATAAATAAATAGATATAATAGGGGTTAACTTTTACTACCATTTGAAGAGAGTCCAGGAGGTAAACTACTCATAACTTTTTTGTTGATCGGGATCTGGATCTTGTGTTGTAATCTGAAATAGTTAATAAAATGGTAAGCTACACTAGTTAGTAAGAATATTAC